TCCCACCTGAGCGGGAGGGTCGGGCCGGTGGCGTTCCCGCGGTGCTTCCGCCGCCCCTGCATCCAGGGCTCGACCGGCCTCCGCGACATGAAACGATTTCTTCTCATCAAAACCTTGTTATTTTCCCAATTCCCCTCTGAACGCTCTGAAGGGGAAGGGCGGGAGCGATGGTCGCGGGCGGCCTGCCCGCTGAGGGGCAGGGAAACATGGTTTGTCTTCTTGCGTTTCTTCGTTTGGAAATGACGGGAAAACGAGCAAAACTCGGAGCCTGGTGTCAGCAAATCAGTTTATACAGGATCCGGCCTCATCTGAGTCTCTCCCGTTTCTATCCAGGAGCCGGCGGTCAAGGCCCAGGCTGAGGCCAGGCTCCTCCTTCCCCTCCACCATGAAGAACAAGTTCCTCACCCGTCACTGCTGAGCACTGGGTCTTGACTTAAAAACACGTTTTTCAGGACCCAGTTCTGGCTGGTGGTGTGATCCGAGAGCCCTGGGAATCAGCAGGCAGAGCTGAGGCAAACCCGGGAGGCACTTTCCTTAGAAATCCGGCAGGATTTAGGAAGAGCCATCCCCGTCCCGCTGCAGTGACGTGAACTCCGCCATCAGCTGCTCGTGGCGGCAGCGACGTGATTGCTCATTCCTCGTTAATCCTCAAGGTTTAACGCCCGTGCACAGACCTGACGGACAGCACTGAGTTATTTTATGCCTACAAGCGACGGGTGAGCAGGCGGCTTCCCACCATGCAGCGCGAACACTGATGAGGCCAGTAAAACCAAGCGGTCATCGGCAGATGCTTGGGAAACGGTGAACTTCCAGATCTTCAAGACAGATAACCAAGGCAAAGACCCCTTTTGCCCACAGGTTTACAGCACGCTCTCCGCAGAGCCTCAGATCTCATCCTGAAAGGAGGATGAGAAATGGCGTTAATTTAATCTACCCGAGTGTTAACCGTGGATTACGCTGTTAGAGTCTTTTTTCTTCTTTGCCCATAGCTGCAATTGGTTTAAGATGGTCTTTCATCTGTTTTAAGTTGATTTTCTTTTAATTAAATGACTGAGATAAGTAGAAAGAATTTGAGTCCGGGAAAAAAAAAAGAAACAGCTGCAATTTTTAAGGGCGGCCATTATGGAAATATTACCTGCAGCCCCATTTAAAGTGCATTTTGTTTATGCTTTGATTGCTTTCTTATTACAGTATTGAAATTGTAAATGGAAAATTACACCATGTTCTATTACATAAGCAACTGGTTTACACAGCCTGAAATATAAGGTTTTATTTATTATTATGTTTTCAGGGCTATGAACAATAGATATATTTTATTATACGGTAAATAGCACTTTTCCACTCGACTTCGTTATAACACTTAACAGTAAAAGGGAGATACTCCTCTTTCATAAATACATGCAGCAAACTGTTTCCCAGATCTCGGAGGACTGAACAGCAGAGAAGCAGCTTTGGTTTATCTGGACAACTTTAACTGAAGTGTCAAGGCACTTGATTTTAGCAGACTGCCCAAATTACGTTCCTTAGTTTCTGGCACAGCGGTTGATTTGCTGATTCCCCATGTGATGAAGGAAGAAATCAAAGGAAAAAGATATGCAGGGACCCCGCAGTGGAATTATTCCCAAACAGACAGTGATAATCCTATGCAAAGGCTATATCACCTTGCTTTATTATATTATATCCAAATGATTACCTATTAATTAACTCAGTGTCTTTCTTTGGAGTCTTAAATTTTGTGGTTACCCAAATTCAAACCAGGTATAGTAGCAGGTGTTCGGTTATGCTTACTTAATGTCTTTACTGCAAATGTCAGTTGTATCTTCTAGAGTTTCCTTTAAAGGTACAGTTTGTCTTAGAATCTAATACACGTGCTTTAGCAGTTTAGTATGTATTTTTCCCAAGGAGATCAAATGAAACCCCTATTAGATAATCAATGTGAAGAAAAAAATCATTTGCAGATTAAGCCAACCAGTTCCAAAAGAATTCAATAAAAACAGTGCCACAAAGAGCAGTGCTGCTAACAGAGAATTAAATGCTTTTCACATATTATCTTTCAAAGAAATGAGAGACTTTCATGGCACCGGGGAAATGTGAAATAGCAGTTTCAGTGAAAAGATGCCCATTGTACAAGACAGATCAGATGATTTGTAAAGCATCCAGTGTTTTACAGTATCTCTAGTCTGGAGTCCTGAGCCCTTTCCAAAAATTAGAAGGCCCAAATTAGAAGGCTCCCCAAACTAGGGAAAATCTTGGACCTCCCCCTTTCAAGTTACACAGCTTGATAGATTAAAAAAAAAAAATTCCTTTGCTTGAATCAGAGCTGTTAGTCATTAATTACGCACTAAAGAGTCATTAATTATGGACTAAAGGAATATTTGAAAAACGTTTGCTCTTTTACAATGTTGTCAGATCACACTGAAAACTTACTCCACTATTGATGCTTATCCATCAGTTGTACAAATGTACCTTCAGAAGGGTTTTTTACACACTTAGCATTACTTTTGGAAGCACCAAATTGAAGTACTACCTCAGAGCAGAACCTTTATTCCTTGCTATGGGCAGGGCAAAGTCCGGGACTTTCATTATTTTCTCTCTCTCACCATACTGCACCTTTCAAGAGCCTACAGATTCAAATTATCAGGTAGTTAATTTGAAAATAATTTATCAACAAGCCATGAAAGGCTTTGAGTAAAGTACTAGGGGATTTTGTAGCCTGACTTGGGATAACTGTAAGAAATTAATCAGTTGAACAAGACCAAGCACATTCAGACGCTGGAATTTGTGCCCTTGAGACTGCTGTTCCTAGCCCAGGCACAGAACACACCTCAGAGAAACATCCTTTCAGGATCACTCATTCCTACGCCTCACCCTCACGCGGCGAGCGCACCGTCAGCTCTTACATAAGGTCTCTTGCTACATCACTGCCACAGGCTGTTGTAAACCATTTTTCTCCCTTTTAATTCAGGTTCCTAGACAAGCAAAAATGCAGAATATTGCCAGAATAGTCTGGGGAACGGGGATTTCTGTTGCAGATGATTAATGAAATATTATTGTTTTGCACTTACAGGGGAATCGTCGTTTCATGCCAGTAAGGTCAGGGCCTTAATATGTTATGTGCTCTACAAAGATGTACAGATTGATAGCTCATTTTCTGTTATGACTGAGCCAAAGCCTCATCAGGTTAGAGGGGAACGTGGCAGAAGTAGCAACACTGCGCTGAAAGCCAAAGCAAACTTTTTTCTTACATTGCTAATTGCAATTCTGGTGTATCTAAATCCACATCTCTATCTGCATCAAGAGGGGAGACCCAAAAGTAAGATGCTGGGACCCTGGCTCTGTAGGTACCTACCAACTAATCATCCTTCATGATATGCCCCAAATTGCCCTTGGATTAATATAATTTCTGCAACACTGTGTTGAGGTAGACTGAAGCTAGAGACCCAGA